TACAATTTTCCAATAATTTTTTGTTACTAATACTGATTGATTTTTTAAAATTATTCATAATAAATCTTGAGTGGTATGTTGTTATGTATTAATGCTTGCGGTACACCACGTAGATAGTTCTGAAAAGAACTGTTGTAGGTTGAGAATATCTCGACGTTCCGATTGAGTTGCTCTAATCGTTTTCAGGAGAATAATATCTGGTATATTGTCCTTTAAGGCAGCAGAATCGAAAGCTAAGACAGAGTTGCAAGAGGCGAAAGAGCAGGTACAGCAGCGACTTGAAATGCAGATGAGTGCCTTGAATGAGAACCTGGGAACTTTGCGACGTGACCTCATGCAGGCCGAGATCAACATCAAGGAACTTGAAAAGAGTAACGATGATCTTCGAGGCGAGATGGCAGGTATGATAGCTTGACTTACATGCTCACCTTCTAGATCCAGCTTAGCTCAGTCGGCTAAACTTGTGGATGTAGCGACTGTGTGTGCGCTGAACCGTGGAGATCCTTTAGACGCCACTTCAATTCCATCCGCCACCTTGTTTTCCTAAAGTGCTTTAACAGACCTAACATATTTATTTATTTATTTTTATTAGATAATCTATACGCAGTTTTAAAATATGAACTTCAGTAGCAGAAATTCACTAATGAATCATGTATATAACCTACACACATCTTTGTTGTATAAAAAATTGAATGGACTTATCTAATTATATTACTATTAAGCTTTGTTATATCTTGATAGCTTGACTTGCATGCTCACCTTCTAGATCTAGTTTTACTCAATCTGCTAAATTGATGGTAGCCACTGTGTGTTCGCTGAGCCGTAGAAAATTCATCTGCCACCTTGTTTGCATAAAGTGATTTTTAAGACTTTACATAATAATATTATTCAATAGCAGAAATTCACTCTTAATTCATGTATATACCCTACACTTATATTTGTTGCATAAAAAATTAAATAAGCTTATCTACTTATATTACTATTGAGCCTTGTTAAATTAGATTACTATTGAGCTTTGTTAAATTTTGATCAGATCAGGTTAGTTTTTTTTTTTTTTTTTTTTTTTTTTTTTTGGGGGTAGGGGTTGGAGAAACACAGATTACAGCCTTTGGACATGAACGATCCTATTCCGTGATGCATCGTTTAGATGCAATGTATTTATATATTTTTAATATTATTATTTATTTATTTATATTATTTTATATATTTATTTTGTTGTATGGTAATATTTTCTGAAAACAAAAGTTTAAGAATGAATGAATTGCTTTAAAAAATGTATTAATCATAAATGATCATGAAGTACCCAATTCTAATAATGCCATTGGTTTATTCCAGTGCAAGAAGCTACAATACAGAATAACCAAGACGAGCGAAGAGCTTTACTAGAAAGGTAAATAGAACAAATTAAACTTATTTTGTTTCTGGGTCATCATCTTCAACAGCAAAGACCCACATTCCATTGAAAATGCACATACAGACATATTGGCCTGGTTTTGTTTAGTCCATTTTATTTTATTAACATTCAGTATCCAGGTAAAAAGCAACACAAGACAAAACGTACAAAAAAGGTGTTCATTACCTGAGGTTTTCCAAAAGTGCAAGCACTAAGTGCCTCTCATATTCTGAACATCTTTACATAAGTATACATAAAAACCAAACATAAAAGATTTTATCAGATCAAAAAAAAACATTTTGGAATTCAAAAATATGATACCAGTTATGAAACAATTTACAGTTAATGAATATAATGGTGAAGTGCATTTTTTAAAAATAAAACTATCAAGAGTAAGCATTTTAAATTTATGTGAGATTGATTGCCATGATAAAAAAAATATATAAAAAGTGAGTCAATTTAATAATTTACCTATCCTCAAAAACTATAGATTAAAAGATAATAGTTAAAAATTCCAATCTTTCAAAATAATCTCAACCTGTCTTGGAGTTAAGGAAGCCAATTTTTTTTTTTATTTATTATTCTTTTTAGATGCCTCAAAAGTGAGTCTGAAGTGGAGAAGCTTCAAGCAAAGCAGGTAGAACTACGTCGCAAGTTGGATGATGCAACGGCCGCGATGCATGAACTCGGCAGAGAGAACCAGAATCTGCAGATCATTAGCAATCAGAAGACAGGTCGCAAATGGACAAGTGATGAAGAAGCAACAAACTGTATGAACTGCAATAAAGGATTTGCAGTTACTGTTAGAAAGGTAAATAATTTACCGTCGAGGAGGACAGTTTTTCACCGTAGTTAATTGATTTTACTTTAGGATTGTTGTAAATTAGTCCCAACAGTATGTAATTCAAAGTAATTTTTATTGCAATTTGTAAACAAGTTTGACAATCAAAATCAAGTAGACATACAAAAAAAATACCAGACAAAAATTAATTTAAAAATTCAACAAACATCTCAAGAATTTATAAAAGTAAAATTGGTGTAAGTTCAGTAAAGCTTTTAGGTTTATTGCAATATGAGCTACAAATGTTGCTTTGTTTTCGTTGTCCTCGCCATTGCCATCGTTGTCATCGTCGTCAGCGTTCTTGTCATGGTCATCGTCGCCATCATCATCATTATCATCATAATCATGTGAAGCACACAAATAAACAGAAGAGTGGAGTAAAAATAGACATTGTCAAATCAAGTAAAAAGTGAAGTGAAGTGAATAAAATAAAGAACAAGTTCATATAATATGTGAGGTCTCACCACGAAATGAGATGCATCGTTGGTGAAATCATATTGAGATATTCACCAAAACACTCCAAAGTCAACATTTTTACAAAATTTTGATTTTAATGTTTATGAATAACTTGATACTTATATTTTATGATTGTATACTTTGTAAGTGAATTTTCTTGCCAAAACTGTGTTCTCTGCACATAATTCTGTAATTCTAGTCCTATTATTTGTACAGGTTAGTTTATCTTTGAGGGCGATTTTCTCAGAACGTGGTTCTTATACACCTAAACTTTAAATGCTCACATCTCTGGATTTACTTATAATAGGGAAGCCATTCAAAGACCAAATGAAAGCTTATAAAATGATCTACCCAAATATAATATAAACTCAATTTCTGAATTTCTAACCATGAGTCTCATTTTGTGGCGAGACCTCACATATGTGAGTGCTACTAGGTGTGAAAAAAATATATATTTATATATCAATTGTCGGTCTTATTGTTTTCTTTTCAGCATCATTGTCGAAATTGTGGAGGAATCTTTTGCAATGATTGCTCAAACAAGACAACAGTCTTAGCATCCTCCAAAAAACCTGTGCGTGTCTGCGACACTTGCTATGAAGAGACCAGGAAGTAATAATTTCTTTTGTATGAAGATTAGCACCTGATATTGATATAATCGCACTGTGATGATATCGACCGCAGGTGTATAGAGTACCGCAGTCATGTAGTCACGACGCCAGGTTACCGTTCATTACGCCTGAATGACTTCATAGACTTTCTGGAATCGGCATTTTGAAATCTAATATTTTACCATCAAAATGTACTAAAAACACAAAAGCTCGCATTATATTAGTTATCGAACATACTTTTAATCACCAATTAAAATTTACAAAGAAAAAGTAAGATGAAATATCTTAATAATTATGTTAGAAATTGGGATCAATGGTTTGTCAGTGGAGAAAATGGCGTCGGGTTGAATGCATTTTGCAATGATAGCAATGCAGTAGTATCACATGGTATCGTGACGTAACACTGTAGTACTCTATAGTAACCTGTACAAGTAGCAATAATAAATATTTTAATGAAAATCTCAGAGTATTACACAGATTCAAGATACCCAGCATTATGATAATGAAGGTAATGTGAAATATTTATAGCTATCTTCTGATCATTCATAAATTGCTAGGTTCTAGCATATTGTAACATTATGTGTATTTCCCTTGTTTGAAAATTATCTAAAATTATTATTATTATTATTTTTTTCTGTTATTTAACAAAAGATCGATTCACAATGTAAGATTGCTTATTTGTGGGATTTTTGGAACAACTTGAGAGGATGCAACCAAGTACAGTGAATGATATTGCCGACAATTTGTTTTTACTCAATGTTTATGATGCAACTATGAGAATTCTAATTGAACTTCGAAATCAATCTTCTGATAGAGGGCGCTGTGATCATTAACCATAAGACTTATGTTTTTAAAAAGTGATTTTTACACAGAATGTAGACGATGCAACGTTGCCATTCAACCTAGTGACCACTGAATTCCTTACTATATGTTACATACTGGTTTCTTAAATAATAGCAGAATTAAACTGAAAAATGATTGGTATTTAAGATGTACTTCTGAACAATCTTAAGTAACATACAATTTTGTTTCTCATTTAAGTTTGTACTGCCTCTAACTAAATTAATTGCTAATTCATTCTAATAAATGAAAAAATTAGGCATTAAAGGATATAGGTCCTAGATGTCAGTGAGTAAACTACTGTATTTTGCTGAGCAGCATACTTCAGACAATCAATAAAGAAGTGATTTGGATCTTCCACTAAGCCACAATGATTGCATAATAAATAAATAAATGATAACTTAAACTACTAAAACTAAGACGGATACGGGTGTGTATCATATTAATCTCTTTCTACATTATAAAAACAATTTTTCGAAGAATATGAATTTCGTAGAATGTTTCTCAAAACAGGAAGTGATTTAGATGTTTTTATATTACCCAGAGAATTATTTTAGAGTTTAAAATTGTTCATATTCGCTACAAAAAGTACAATAATTCTGATATTGCCCTTTTCAGGTATACATGACAAAAGGTTTTTTGTCTTCACAATGTACAGTAAACCCATATACACACTGGACAATTGTACAAACATTTTAGGTTAAATTTCCTATGATTGATTTCCACCAATCATATACTGAATTTAATGACAACGAAAACGAAGCACCAATTAAAGATCTATTTTCTGAGGGTGGTGGGTGGTGTTAGTGTTGTTTTTCCACTAAATAATATAGGCACAGTTTGCTTCGGCTAAGTTTGGGGGTGATTGCTCTTATCACCACTTCTGCATCCATTACTTAACTAGTTTCAAGTTTCATTTATTTTTTATTTGCTACTAATGCTTTAACATAATAATATTAACAACAACAAAAAAATATATATAGGTATAGGTTCATACAAGTTTAAGGGAATATATATATAAGATGTGTATAAGAGACAGCAG